CGGCAAGGACGGGGAGGGGGGCAAGGAGGGCGAGAAGAAGAACGGCAAGTACGAGAAGCCGCCCTTCAGCTACAACGCGCTCATCATGATGGCCATCCGGCAGAGCCCCGAGAAGCGGCTCACGCTCAACGGCATCTACGAGTTCATCATGAAGAACTTCCCCTACTACCGGGAGAACAAGCAGGGCTGGCAGAACTCCATCCGCCACAACCTGTCGCTCAACAAGTGCTTCGTGAAGGTGCCGCGCCACTACGACGACCCGGGCAAGGGCAACTACTGGATGCTGGACCCGTCGAGCGACGACGTGTTCATCGGCGGCACCACGGGCAAGCTGCGCCGCCGCTCCACCACGTCGCGGGCCAAGCTGGCCTTCAAGCGCGGGGCGCGCCTCACCTCCACCGGCCTCACCTTCATGGACCGCGCCGGCTCCCTCTACTGGCCCATGTCGCCCTTCCTGTCCCTGCACCACCCCCGCGCCAGCAGCACTTTGAGCTACAACGGCACGGCGTCGGCCTACCCGAGCCACCCGATGCCCTACAGCTCCGTGTTGACGCAGAACTCGCTGGGCAACAACCACTCCTTCTCCACGGCCAACGGGCTGAGCGTGGACCGGCTGGTCAACGGGGAGATCCCGTACGCCACGCACCACCTGACGGCCGCCGCGCTCGCCGCCTCGGTGCCCTGCGGGCTGTCGGTGCCCTGCTCCGGGACCTACTCCCTCAACCCCTGCTCGGTCAACCTGCTCGCGGGCCAGACCAGTTACTTTTTCCCCCACGTCCCGCACCCGTCCATGACCTCGCAGAGCAGCACGTCCATGGGCGCCCGGGCCGCGTCCTCGTCCACGTCGCCGCAGGCGCCCTCCACCCTGCCCTGCGAGTCCCTAAGACCCTCGCTGCCGAGCTTCACGACGGGACTGTCCGGGGGACTGTCCGATTATTTCACACATCAGAACCAGGGGTCTTCCTCCAACCCTTTAATACATTAACGTCCCCGGGACCAGACTGTAAGTGAACGTTTTACACACATTTGCATTGTAAATGATAATTAAAAGAAAAAATAAGTCCAGGTATTTTTTATTAAGCCCCCCCCCCCCTTCCAACTTTTTCCACCCCCCCTCCCCGCCATTTCTGTACGTTTGTTCAGTCTTTAGGGTTGTTGATTATTCTAACAAGGTGTGGAGTGTCAGCGAGGTGCAATGTGGGGAGCATACATTGTAGAATATGAAGTTTGGAAGTCAAAATTATAGTAGAACGTGTATCTAAATAGTGACTGCTTTGCCATTTCATTCAAACCTGACAAGTCTCAGAGCCGCCAGATGTCCATGTGTGCAGTATTATAAGTTATCATGGACCTACATGGTGGACGCAGACCTTGAGAACAACCTAAATTATGGGGAGAGTTTTTAAATGTTAAACTGTAATTTGTATTTAAGAAGCATTCGTAGTAAAGGTGCCCAAGAAATTATTTTGGCCGTTTTATTGTTTTGTCCTTTTCTTTTAAAAACTGTTTTTTTTTCTTTTGTTTACTTTTAGACCAAAGATTGGGTTCTAGAAAATGCACTTGGTATACTAAGTATTAAAAAAAAAAAGAAAGTTATTTCAGTTGGCAGCACTGCCCATTCAAATGAATTGGAAGGGGACAAAATTAATGATTGCCTTCAGTTTGTGTTGTGTATATTTTGATGTATGTGGTCACTAACAGGTCACTTTTATTTTTTCTAAATGTAGTGAAATGTTAATACCTATTGTACTTATAGGTAAACCTTGCAAATATGTAACCTGTGTTGCGCAAATGCCGCATAAATTTGAGTGATTGTTAATGTTGTCTTAAAATTTGATTGTGATACTGTGGTCATATGCCCGTGTTTGTCACTTACAAAAATGTTTACTATGAACACACAGAAATAAAAAATAGGCTAAATTCATATATAACTTGATACTTTTGTCTCTTTTATTAAGTAGAGCTAAGTTCTAGAGAATTCAAAGGCTTTTTCAGCCAAATAAAATTTAAACGCTCCTTTCATTTGAACTGAGACTTTAAATGAAAAGAGTATTTTTTTCCATTATGGAATCAAATTTTACAAAGGAGCAGGCTATTTAATAAACACTAGCTTTAAACAAAGTATAGGCTTTTCAGCTGATATTTTTAAGTTTCTGTAGATGTACTCAAAAAGAGATAATTTAATGTGCATAGTTATTTACCCTGTGTTTATTTTCAAATCAGTCAATAGAATGCTTACTTTTTATATATTTTGTTTCAGGTGTTTTGTTTATACCACTTGGCAAACTATAAATAAATGTATGTGGTTAGATCGAAGTGAATATAATGCACACAATATGTAATATATATAGACACACAGAGCCCTTCAGTTCAGGTAAAATTTGCGCTATGAATGCTGCAAATATTTTTGTTTAAATATTTGTATTTATACTAAGTCAGCATTTATTTTGGTCGTTGTTTACTCACAATGAAAGAGTTCTAATAAAGATGTGCTGAAGTTGCAATATAGATTTTGCTGAAGTGCTCACCTGTTGTAATGACTTGCAGACCAATGTTTACATTTTATTTTTAAATTATAACAATTTAAAATTCTAGAAGTTCAGAAGCAGTAAAATGCCTCTTTCTTTCATTTTTGCAATGTAGAGGTATTTATTTGATTCCCTTTTAGATAAGTCTGTATAATCTAGAGATTTGTTTCTTTTGTTTACAGTCATAATTTTAACTTGTAATACACATATGCATGCATACATATGCATATACATATAAATCTGAAACAACATGAAATGATTTTTGAATTGTTTCAGCAGCCCAATGGCAATGAGTCCAGAAAATAATTATAAAACCTAAGTAAAAGGTTTAGTAACTAATTGGATCCTGTGGTGAGTCCATGGAGGACAAGTTGTTCATTTGTTACAATTGTATAGTCTGAAATGTGTTCTGCAGTAATGCAATAAGCTGGCTACTTCTTACAATGGGCCCAATGAAAAATAATCTGTCCCCAAGATGTTATCGGCAAACACTTAGAGAGTTGCTCAGGGGGGAAAAAAATAAAGCCTAGGAGAGAAGCAAGAGTGACTCAAATAGATTTGAAATAGAAATACAGCACAGTTAATATTGGAATATGGGGATGGGTGGGTTGCGAATGGAGAGGTAGAAGAAGGAAGTGAGAGAGAAGGGAGGAAAGGAAAAAAAAAGGATCTTTAAAGAAAAAAAAATCCCCACTACCAAAGGAAAGAATGAGTAAGAAAGGGAGGTGTCTAAGAAAGACAGAAAGATAAGGGCCAGGATAATTAAAAGAGTTGGAACCAAGTATGTACAAATAGGAAATGGACCTAATAGACTAAGACGGCTAGTTTAATTATCTCCTTTAAGCAGACTGGGCATGATTTTATTTTTTTTCATATGACAGCAATTTTACCAAAGGTCCAAGTTGCTTGAAATGTATCCGTTCTTCAGAATGAAGCATGAAAGAAAATCCCACAAATAAATTGTTTTAGAAGCCAAATTTATGGCTGGTATTAAAAATAGTGATAGAGTCCAAGTGAATGAGGTTAGGCAAAGGAGATCCCCACTGATGCATTTGTGAACAAAAACAGCTGACGGAAAAGCATGTATTTAGACTGAAAAAGGTGATGATGTGTTTGCTTTTATTGGGGGTTTTATTTGTGGAATGATAATGTACTGGTACCGAAGAATATAGTCTTTTGCAGATCAAAAGTTGGAGAGTTGGACTCTTATATTGAGTTAAAAGGACATAGATCTGGAAGAAAGATTCCCTCCTTGAGTATTTTTTTAGCCATATTAAATATCTATATTTTTTGTGATAAGGGTTTATTTGCATAATGGAGAAATAGAATTTCAATGGCAAACGTTATAGTTTGAAGTCAAGATTAAAACTGACTTCTTTGAATTCATAGGAACTAAGGACTGGAGTGGAAATTCTACTTGGATACATGTCCAAGTTACATATATAATGGGGGATAGAGAAATTTGTGAAGGCCTCCTGCTGCCCTATGTGAACATTTCATTTATCTCAGTCTATCCTATCATCCTTCAAGTTATCTTCTTCAAAAATACATGACAATGTAGCATGGCATTTAGTAGATTTTTTTTGCAACAAATTGATTGTAATACGGTGTTGATATTTATTTTTACCAATCTTTGCCAGTTAAAATCACCTTATACCAGGAGAAAATTTTCAAAACTTTTGAGCTGTTTCTTCTTTCCTAGTTACAACTGTTTTCAATGAGATGAAATTGTTCTTTTTGAGATTTTGGAGCTAAAAGTGATCACAACTTATAACTTGAAATTCTAAATTATGTTTTATTCCTAGGTTTAAAGTATTTTACTTGAATTTATCTGGTATAAAGTTACTCTAAGTTACTAATATATAAAACATTAAGAAAATGGCTTAGTTAGAGCAGGAAAGGATTCTTCCAAATATGTTTCAAGATTTAATACAAATATCTTTATTGTTTCATGTGATTTCTATGACTTGCATAAAATCAACGGTAGAGAGGCAAAAAGTGAATCTTGTGTGTTGATTATATATGTTCAAGTTGCATATTTCGCCCACATAGGTGGATAAATTGAATATATTCAGAATTCTAAATATATAAATGTAATTTTTAAAAAGTGTATTTTCTACAGCATTGCTGAGGAGCTTGCATTCATTGAAGTAATTTTGCTTTTGAGATATTAATGTTATGACTAGCTAAAGTGTCTGGTTGTGTTTGGGGACAAAATGCCTGTTGGAGAAATAGGCTAGCAAGAGGTGAAGGTGAAGATCATTAGAGGTTTCAGAGCTGGCTGGGATGGGATGCTGGGGTTGTGTAACTGTGCCTAGAGGGCGGGGTTCCTGTACATTCCTACTTCACCAGATAACCTGCCCCCAACACCACTCCAGCTTCTGCCAGACAGATGGAACTCTCCAACATGATAATCTGCGCAGCCACTCCAACAAGCAGGGTAGGTGAAACTCGCATTAAAATTCTACCCTCTTTTTTTTTTTTTTCCTACGTGAAGCCAGATCCTGAAGATATGGAGAGAATAAGGGTCATCTAGATTCTTTAAGTCATACTCGCCTGTCTGCATTCTCTCTAAGAGCTACCTACCTGTAAGAGTTCAAAGACACTGTCTTTCACAGTACTTCATTTTCGATTTTTTTTTGGTGTGCTTTTTTTTTCTTTTTCTTTCTTTTTTTTTTTTCTTTTAAGGCTTTCTTTTCTCATCCCAACCATTCCCTATCCCTTCTCCAGGGCCTCCCCTCCCCCAACCACCAGCAGTTAAAATAATCCACCTCTTAGTTTTGGCCCCTAAACCGACCTTTTCCCCACTGTAGCGATCAGTTCGCCGGGACTTAGTCCTGAGGGTGTAGCTCCGAGGAATATGTGATGTATTGTTATGGTTTGAGTCTATTTTCTTCGTTCCGATTTCTATCTGTTTTTTCCCTCCACCCAAGACTGCCTGAAGTTGTCTGAGGATGCGGAAGAAAAGATTTGCGGCCTGGGAGCGCTCCTAACCCCCAGATCGGTAAGTAAAAGTGATTTTCAGAAGGGTGGAGGGCTACCCCTGACCACTTTTGATTGAGGCTTAAACCACGACTTGGAGGTCCCTGGCGAAAGTGCTCCTGTTTTGTTTTGTTTTTATTTCCTTAGAGGAGTGTGCTATCAAGGAATTAGCTGAGGAAATGCATGCTTTTTCCATGTCTGCAGAAAGTCACTGTGCGTCCCTAAGTAAAGAGGGTGGAGACATGGCAAAGAGGGACGAAGAGAAACCAGGCGAATTTATATGGAGAAGGGTTAGTAGGAGACTGAAATAGGTCCCAAAGTGCAAAGTCATTCATTTCGTGGAAATGGGATTTCTGAGTCTAACCGCAACTGCGAGAATATCCTAACTGGACTTTCTTAACGTTTAAACCCGTAGGTATTTGCTCTCCTGTTTGAGACAAAGCTCTTTGCTCTAGAGCCAAAGACTTACCTCATTCGAAAGTTCTGTTTTCTTTTCTTTTTTTTTGGGGGGGGGACGCTTTTCCTCCCCATTTTCACACTAACATTGCCAACCTCCCCTAGAGCTGGCCATCCACCCTCAGCTTTGTGGCCTGGGTCAGTCAAGCGCCCCCCCCAGACACACACACACATCCCGGATTTAGCAGAGCTGCTCCAGGTAGAGTGCAGCGCACCGGGTGGGAGGCTGCCCTTCTGCCGGTTCGAAGGACGAGGGAAATGAGCACCGTTCTGGGCTTGACTGTGTCCCTGCTGGGAATAGCTCAGTTCCCGGCTTTGGGAATCTCAGGCAAATAATTGATTCCTAATGCACACTTAGGGCACAGAGGTGTAAGCTCCAGGGCCTGGCTGTCCCGGGAGTGGCTACGAGCGCCCCAGACACAGGTCGGTTCCGCCAGAAGCGAATTTGGGGGCTTCGCCGCGATTTCCTATTAGCCTTCTCGGAACCTCCTGGGGATGAAGTTGGAGAGAGAGGCACGATGGTGGGAATTGAAGTCCTAACAGCAGGGACCCAGCGCTTTTTGTTTTGTTTTATTTTTCTCCCCTCGGGTTGTGGAATCTGTTAAAAAGACTAGAAGCGCTGGGTCCGGCGGCGTTGGCCGGCCGCGCGCACCCGGGGAGGAGAGGCGCTCTGGGGACCCGCGGCAGATCCCGGCCTCGGGAAGACGAGCGCTGCGCGGGAGCAGCAAGGTGAGGGCGCTCTTGCCCAGGACAAGCAGAGCTCTGCGTTCCCTAGCTCACGCCAGCGGAGGCCGGGAAAATGACTCCAGAACCGGGCTGGTGCGCTTCCCCACCTTTATCCTTTCTCCCCCACCTCCCCCCGTGTTCTCCCCTTCCTTCCCCTACCCCATAAAAGTTGATTCTTTTGTGTACCTGGTGCTGTTTCAGATCTCAGCACTTATTTGCTAGTTGATAACACTGTTTTCTCTAT